ATAGATAGATAGATAGATAGATAGATAGATAGATAGATAGATAGATAGATAGATAGAGTATCTGCTGCTCAGAAATATCCAGAAAAGAAACTTTAAAGAGGGAGTGAGATTTATTGTAGGTAAATATGTTACCAAAAAGCTGAAAAATGCAAGGTACGCTTCCCTGCCTTCTTGAAGAAAGTAGTCAAAGCTTGCTTTTTTGGGGTGCTTAAATTTTGTTTGCTTAATGTTCTTCTTCAGAAACTTGCTTTAATTTCACACTTTGCTGTGAACATATTTAAAAGCTTTCAAGAGCATGTTGTAGCATTTAGTCCTATTCATATTCACTCAAGAATTGTCAAATGGTGCTCAATAGGCCATATTCCCCCTCTCTAAATATGTAGGATTCTAGCCTTAAGTAAAAGAAAGACAAACCGTATGAATATCACAGTTGTCAGTTTAAAAGGGTTTATGTCTACTTAAGAAGTAATATTGTCTGATTTTTTTCCAGGGAAGAAGATTCTTGAGCTTTCTTTTCACATGGAACGTAAATTTCATTAAGATGATACATGGGACTGTTAAAAATCAACTGCAGTGTTTTCCTAGGTAAGTTTCTCTTCCTACAAAATGGTGACTTGGGGATTTCCTGAATTCTGGTTTGTTGGTCATGGGCAAGTGGTCTCATCTGTATACTTTGCCGTGTTGCCCTCACTTGCTTACCAATTTGAAGCACTAATAACTTGCAGAAAAATGCTGAGCGTTCCATCTGCATGGAGATTCACCTTACCCATTTGGTGAAGGTATGAAGATGAAAAATACATTTTTACAGGAAGCTGTTTCTTTAGAAGGAGTCTTGCAGAACATTTCTAGGGTCTGTCTCAACCGTGACCAGCAGGAAGGAGAGTTAAAACTGCAAAAGCATCTGTTCACAAACACCAGAAAATAAAAATATTATTAGAAGATACAGAGTAAGATGTTGAGCACTTATTAGTTATAGCAGTTAAAGAAATCCTGTATGTTTAGAGGCCATAGGGAATGTAACAAAATGTTGAGGCTTAAGCTAAATTGTTTTGTATTCCACCAGACCTAAAATAGAATTTTAGCTTGGGGAAGGAAATTGCAAAATGCCTGGATGCCTTTTGAAACTAAATAAATGCCTGTAGGTTCACCGTAGTGTGTCTTTTAATTTACTGACCCAGGTCCCTGATGAACCATGTTGCTGAGATTTACTTCCGAGCCTGGAAGAAGAGTTCAGGGGAGATAACAGAGGTATAATGTTTCAGAATAATTATAATTCATTACAAAATGGATTTAAGGAAAATACATAAAGAAATGGTTAACAGGTATTTTCAGATGTGTGGGTGTTTTCAGTTTTCAAGTTAGCATGCCTTCATAGGTAGGTAGATAGGTTCACACATCACACTGGCAAATAGCTGGATTCACACAACATACTAAGCTTGAATTTGAGGGGCTACTGGTGTGAACACAAGGTATTTGGAGTTTGTCAACATTGGTTTCTGTTTCTGCATGATGTGTGAACCCAGCCATTTATGGCTTATTCAATAAACCATGGTTAAAACAAACTTGGCTTAGCATTACATGAAGTGAAACTTTGCTGGGAACCTATGCCCTCAAATCAGTCTTAAATGCCATCCCTGATATCAAAAAAGCTGGATATGGATGTTACATAACTTTTTCATTTTTCATTTTTTCTGCAAAGAGTTTTCAGGAGAATTGGGATCCATAAGAAGGGGACTGATGAAAAGAAATGATGGCTTGTCCCTGGTGTGGGCCACAGGGGGTCTGGAGAGATGGTGACTAGAATGGTGGTCTAGACCATGCAATCAAAGTCCCATTGCTTTTGTACAAGTGTTGATGTTGTAGAAACATACAGAGGGGCAGGTCTTGGATCACACTGATGTGACTGCCATCTTGACTTTTTTGACAGCTGCACCACCCCTGCATAGATGCTCCTCTTGGCAACCAGTGGGCTGCTGGCAATTTTCCACCATGCAAGATAATAGTAGAGAATCTTTGTCTGCTAGAAACTGGGTATAGAGGGTTGAAAATCCACCCTCTGCCAGGGGAAAAGCAGTTTTTAAAAGGTTTCAGGGTAATTTCTTAAAACATTGATAAAAGATGAACCCCTGAATTGTAAAGAGCCCCATCCCTGGGGCAGCCATTTTGGGATGGTCCTGCAGAGCCCCAAATGTTTCTTGAGCCCAATACGGTGAACTACCCCTGAGTTAGATTTAAGCATGAAATCCTATCCCAAGCAGGTTGAAGTTGAGGTGAGTGACGTCTATGGTAGCAAGGTAGATAAATAAATAAATGCTTCCTGTCAGTAGTCGATTATGTCCCTAACGGAGTTCAAGTTGACAACGAAAATGAAAACGAATAAATAGTACCAAACTCAACTACTAAAATCAGCTGGGTAAAAATTAAAAACTGTGGTCAAGCTCTTACAGAGCAACATTACCTGCAGTCCTGTGAAAGTTCAGTAAAAGGGAGATGTTCTTCTTGTCCCCAATAAAGAAGGCTTCAGCATCTTGGCAGAAAGCCATTTGGGAGGAGACAGGATGAATGTCCTGAAATGGAAGAGAAATGGGAAATGAAATGAAATGGAGAAGAGGAGAGGCTCAAGACATAGTTAAGCTGATATTCCTCCAGATTTCTTGCTCCTGTCTTAATGGTCTTTATAAGTGGCATTGTGGATGCAAGTTGGATGCCAGTTTCTTTAAGGTGCTTGTATTTTTTTCAGCTTTTGAATATTAAGCAGAGCGTGTATTCTTATTTCAGGTAATTGAACATAGCTGCATTCAGGATTTCATGCATCATGCAATTCACCTTCCCCGGAACTCTCCTCTACACGCTAAAGTGCGAGAGGTGAGCTGTTATTTCAAGCCGTTGCTTTCAGATACTTCTGGGATCCCTGCTCAACAACAGTTTTGAAGGAATGTTTGACTTAGAAACAGTTTGCCGTGTGGCATGTGGGAAGGCTGCTTGGCTACCAAAGACTTAGTTGTTGAGATTCTCTTACTGGTTGACACACCTGTATTTTCATTTATATATGTTACTGAAAGGGAAAGCAGATATATATCGTCTTCTGTGCATATTAAAGAACTGTACTGCTGCAGAACATTGCAAATTTCATATATAGGTACCATGTGGGTCAAATTTTGCGAAGAGCTGGATAAAATTGTTTGGAGTAACTCTTAAATCATTTTAATTTATTTTTGTTTTATTAGCTGCTGAGCTATTTCCACAAACAAAATAAATGTCGCCAAGGAGTTGAAGAAGTTCTTTATAGACTTTATCAACCTATTCTTTGGAGAGCTTTGAAGGTAATATATTTCTATCAAACTGTCCTACTTCCCTCCAGATAATTTTCAAAAGCTAGACTAAATTTGATTCCAAATTCTGCTGTTGTATGTGTAATTTATCAGGCCAGGAATTCTGAAGTCCGTTCAAATGCAGCATTACTTTTTGTTGACGCGTTCCCTATTCTGGATCCCAGTCTTAACAAAGAAGATATGGATAAAGAAATCCAGAAGCAATTTGATGAACTTTTTGTAAGTACTTTTTAAGTTCTTCATGTGAACTTTTCTGTTGGGTCTGTTTTATTTACTTTATTGTCTATCTATTTATCGAAGCCTGGATAGCTTTTCTTACTTCTCACTGACAATTAGGATTGATTGATTGATTGATTGATTGATTGATTGATTTCATTTCTCCCCCGCCCATCTCCCCCCAATGGGGGAACTCTGGGCGACTCACACAGAACACTAAAACCATAAATATACATAAATACATAAAAACATCAGTTTAAAAACATTTCTAAAAAAGGAAAGGAGAGTCCAAGAAAATGAAAAATCTGGGGCTGAAGACAGGAGGCTTCTATGGGGCTAGCCAACCCCATGCTTGAGGTATTCCCTCCCCACCCCAGGCCAAGTTTTCTTCTTGTTCTGTATGTTAGTATGCAGAGGATATTTAGAAAGGAAAACTGTGGTGACATAAATCCTCACTGCAACATATAATGCCATATTTTAGCATGGGGACTACATCCAAAACATATCAGCTGAATATTGAATGCTATTTCATTCTTCTTCCCTATGTAGATGTAACTTCTTGATTCAGAATCTAAATTGCTAATGAGCATCTTAATAACAAATGAAAATACAGGTTATGAGATATTTTGAAGATATGATAACTTACTTATATAGCAGTGTTTCTCAACCTTGGCAACTTTAAGACCTGTGGACTTCAACTCCCAGAACTCCCCAGCCAGCTAAAGTTGCTAAAGTTGAGAAACACTGCTATATAGGCATGGTAGCTTAACAAAAGGTTGGTATCTCTAAAAATGTTGTACAACATCCAGTATTACACGAGTTTTCCTTCTTCTGCTTTCCATGTAGCCTCCAGCAAACTCTTAGATCTGCTTCAGCGGGTCCCTGAATTCTACAGATCAGATGTGTAGAAGTGCAGAAGGGATTTTTTTCCCCCCACCAACATATTGTCTCTTCTGCTAATGGAAGGAGGCCAGAAGATAAAACCAATTCAAGTTAGAATCTCTTGAGATTGTCTCCAGCATTCTGTTGACATGGAGCCAAGTTGCCTAAATGCAAAGTAGAGTGAATGTCATAGTATTATTTCTGCTTATTTGAATTCTATTCATAGGCTCTCTTAGAAGATCCTCAACCCTTAGTCCGCTCAACAGGAGTGCTTGGTGTTAGTAAAATAGCATTTAAATATTGGGAGATGATTCCTGCAGCAGTGCTTGCTGATCTTCTGAAAACTCTGATTGAAGATCTTGCTTTTGATACAAGTTCGGCTGATGTCCGATGTGCTGTTTTTAAAGTAAGTGTGAGTAAATAAGGTATCTTTTGTTTAGCCATTATAATTTCTCCTTGAACTGTCAGTGTGCTCCCTTGTCGTATAACTCAGAACAAAATTACCTCATGCAGAGGTAACAGCAAATTTTGACTTGCTTAATGCCCTTAGGCTTTAGATTACAGGTATATCCCTCTTCCCTTTTCCTTCAAACTTGAGGAGGGACTAGTAGCTTCTGGTTAGCATCAAATAACATTGTTCTGGGCACTACAGGCTGCGCCTTGCATAACTCCAGATTCTGCTTAGGGATTCTGGTTTGCTGCAGTGGATGCCAAAGGCCACATTATTAAGGTGTAGACTATCGCAGCAAGATGATCTTTGTTCAGGAAAGTTATCGTATTAGTCAAAGCTGATAGCAGGTGCTCTTGAATGCTGAGTCCATATAAGCGTCCAGTGGCAAAGATGGATCTACAATACTCAACTTCCTATGCTGAGTACAGGTAGTCCTCGCTTAACGACCACAATTGGGACCGGAATTTAGGTTGTTGAGCGATGCAGTTGTTAAAAGAATCATCACGTGACCGGACCCAATTTTACGACCTTTTTGTGGTGGTGCTTAAGCGAATTACCACTGTCGTTAAGTGAATCATGTGGTCGTTAAACAGATCACACTGTTAAGTGAATCACGTGGTTCCCCATTGATTTTGTTTGCCAGGAGCCAGCTGGGAGGGTTGCAAATGGTGATCAAGTTACCCCAGTCCACTGCAACCGTTGTAAGTGCGAGCTGGTTGCCAAGCGCCTAGATCACAATCACATGACCGTGGGGGTGCTATGACGGTCATAACTTCAGGCACCAGTTGTAAGTCACTTTTTAGCGCTGTCGTAACTTTGAATGGTCACTAAACAATTGGTTGTTAAGTGAGGACTGCCTCTATTGTAGCGTTGTTTCCTTTTTAAAAAAAAATCTTCAAAGTAGGGCCATGGGAAGCGCACATCATAAATCAGAAGCATGCTGCAAAGTGTTGGTGAGCTTTGAAAATGTGCCATATCTCATTAGAATTTTAATATCTGAATCAATGTTGTTTCGAGAACTATAAGTGGACCAACGGGTACCTTAACCTGAAATAAAACATCTGAAGGGTAGAGAACCTTCTAAAATCTTTGGTTCTAGGTTCCTTCATAACTATCTGATGCCTTTGTTCCGCTTTAGCAGCACATTCTCTGAAGGAATATTAATAGAAAATTTATATAATCACCACACATACCACTTTGCATTTAAACGACATGCTTAATAAAAATGGATCATCTTGCTCTTTGTCATTCCCCAGCGTCTGTCCTCTTAGCTGCAGGTATTTGGCAAGTAGAATAGGTTCAATGCAAGAATCCCCTGTTTTCTTGTGATAACCTTTTATTGATATTTTTTTCTATTTCCCTTCCAGTGCTTGCCTATGATTTTGGACAATATACTAAGCCACCCATTACTGGAACAGCTCCTGCCAGCCCTGAAATACAATCTCCATGACAATTCAGAGAAAGTTAGGGTGGCTTTCGTTGATATGTTGCTGAAAATTAAGGCTGTGAAGGCTGCAAAGGTGGGATAAATTAGTTTGCTAGGCTGCAGACACGACGCATAAAACTAGGCAATTTATTCTGGAGCATGTGCATTCATCAATATTTTAAAAGGAAAGGGGTCCAAAGAATTCATTAGCATTTCACCCCAAACAATTTACCATTGTTATATTTTAATTTATTCAATAAGAAGGAACTTTTAGCATCCTTTCTTCCCTGCAGTTTTTCGAGCAGTTATCTTGATGGCAGGTCCAATAGAAAAGTAACAGCTAAAAAGTAGCATTTTATTATTTCCTGATGATTTATTTTTTGAAATCATGTGCCCTTGCTCTGCAAGGGATTGAATTTATTTTTTCAGCTGCAAAGTACCATCCCGCTGAAGGGATAGCATGGGTTTGAGATGTCACTGAATGGCATCGGAGAGTAGAAAATGAGTGATGGTTGTATTGTCAGTTTATCCTCAGCATCAGCAAATCAGATCAGTGAAGATCAGATGACAAAATAAACTATCCTGTCTAATAGAACTCTCTGTAGTCCAGACCTCATTCCCAGAAGATGTGCAATTATTTTAATACAGCTGTACAGTACTTAATTCTGAACACTGAATCAGTTTTGGAGTCAGAATTCAGAGTCCGAAGAATCCCTTGCTTAAGCGTGGGCTACCTTGGCGGAGGCGATATCAAAAGAACTCTGGCTGTGAAGGCACAAACAATTAGTTATTCTTATTTTAATCCATGGTTGGAAAACAAAGCATGTTCATATTTAATACTGGTAGCCCCCAGTTATGGAATTCCCTTTCTGGCCATTTGTGAATTCCCTTTCTGGCCTTTTGCCTGCTTAGGTGGTGGTGCCAACCAAAGACCTAGGTGTCCTCCCTTGGTTTTGGCTAAATTTAGGCTGCTCAAGGGCACTGGGGAGAAAGCGGGTCAAAAAGGTCAAGATGGTGACTATGGCTGTGCAAACAAAGCCTCACCCTTTTTTACACATCTCATGTGACACACACAAAAAGGAAACGGGGCTTTGGTTGCATAGGTACAGCTGCCATTTTGAGCTTTTTCACCCCCACCCCCCCCAGACATCCCTAAGGGTGCTTTGTAATCTGGTATGATTCTGACGTTGTGGGTCCTTTTTATGGCTTTAACTTTGGTAAGTTTGTATCATTGTGTCAGTGTCTTTTATTGCACCCTGCTTTGAGATTATTTTGAATGAAAAATAAGGTAAATATTTTTATAAAGAGGTGAATGAAATGCCTGGGCAGCTGCACGAGATGAAAGTGAGACTGTTAACTTGCAGTAGCATGAGTCAGAATTTATTTTTTTCCTGCAGCGTATATAACATCAGCCCAACATTGGACATTGACACAACGCTGCTATGATGTTCTGTCTGCAAGTGGTTAATCGGAAATCAATGAGTAAGGCAGATAATCTGTCTTGATTCCTGAGTAGCAAAAGACAAGTTGAATAGAGGCTGTTTGCCAGAGTAATGCTGCAAAACATAGGCTGTGTTTTTCCAGGGAGAGTTTTGTAGAAGTTTCTAGCCAGAAAAAGCAACTTGTGTAAGAATGCAGGATATCAGATAATCAGTCAGCAGGGAGTCCATCTGAAGGTACATTCACTATAAAATCTAATCACAGTAACTTTGTTTCTCCCCCATTCCCATCCTCTCAAATCAGTTTTGGAAAATTTGTCCTATAGAGCACCTCTTAACTCGCCTTGAGATTGATTCGCGGCCCGTGTCCCGACGGCTAGTAAATCTTCTGATCAGCTCTTTCTTGCCTGTCAATCAACCAGAAGAAGTGTGGTGCGAACGCTGTGTGGCACTCATCCAAATGAATGCATCTGCAGCCAGAAAATTCTATCAATACGCTCATGAGTACGCTAATCCCACCAACATAGGTAATGGTGTGAAAAGCAATGTTGGAGTTGTTGACCTGGGTAATGGAACAACTGGGGTGTTTTACTCCCCCATATCCACAAAGAAGCCCTCTGTTGCTTTTTGGTAAATGCCCAGGCACCCATAACTGCTTCTGAAGAATTCTGGGCCAAATTGAAAATGTCAGGAAGAAGGAACAGGAGGAGGTGACAAAAAGTTGGGTGTAATGTGTGCATAGAAGGTGCTAATTACGGGGCTGGCTTATTTTTAAACGGAAATAGTACTTAACTTTTCCCCAGAATATATCCATTGAGTGTTAACTACAGTCCCATTTAAATAATTTATTTTGATGTGGTTTTAAAATATATAGTCGGGAACATGCTCAAAGCCATTTAGAAATCCATTGAAATCCCTAACAAGAAAAACAGTTGATGAAATATTAATCCAAACAGCTGCATGCTTTTATTAAACTGCATTTATTTATTTATTTGTTTGTTTTGCTGGAGCATAAACGCACGGTGCTTCTCCCTTTTTTTAATGAAGCAATAATTGAGCCAGTAGCTTTGCTGTCCACTCTGTCGCTTGTCATTTTTCATAATTGAGACACTTTGTTCTTTTATTCTAGCTAAACTGATGCTTACCATTCAGAGCTGTTTGAACGCCTGTATCCAACAGCAATTAAAGGCATCTGAAAGTGGGGATGAGGACAGTGAGAAAGAAAACATGAGCGTAAGAAGAACAGGGTTTTAACTGAAAATGGTTTTGTGACAACTGACTTGGATTTGTGATGTTCTATGGGTTAATATAGCTGGCATGTTTTTGCCGCTTTATCTAATGAGAATGTTTCTCAGCATTATAGCCGTCCGTTTCAAAGGGAATCTTTCATAAATTGTGCTGAAGGATTGGTTTAAATTTCAATTTTGCCCTGAGTGAGTAGCGAGCTCAGTTTTACATGAGCCACAACATAGCGCATAACCTAGCAGGAATGTCCGTGGGCCATTACATCATTTTTGAGGAGTGTTAGATTATAGTTTTAAAGCTTTGTGAATATAAATCCCCAATCAATGCCGCCATCAGCAGTTGTGGTAGCAAGCTGTGCTTTTGATCTCACCTGTCTGTCCACTTACCTTCATCTAAAATATATATCAAGGTGATGTAGGTATGTGCAGGAAGGTGATGGTGTGAATTATATCTTGTGTGATGGTTTACACAAGTCATATGATGTCACTGTGGTTTGTTAGAGATGCCAATGAACTTATTGCTTGATGGCTCTGTCCATCCCGCCTTTATTTTTGGCCAACTCAAGGTGGTGTACATACCTAATGCTCCCTCCTCCTGTTTTCCCTACAACAACACCTGTGAGGTGGGTTAGCTTGAGAGAAGGTCACCCAGCTGGTTTTGTGCCTGAGGGAGGACTAGAACTCATGGTCTCCCGATTTCAAGCCCACTACTTTACCCATTAAACCAGACCGGTTCTCATAGTGAAGGAATTAACTTTGTATTATGTGGTTTTTATATCCAGAGCCTGGAGCTAGTACAGAGATGAGGTTTTGCTCATATAACAATTTCCATTGAAACATCTGCATTCAGTTTGCAGATGTAGAAGAGAAGGCATCATGAGCTTGGCATACTTTGCCTAACATAAGCTTGCTGCATATTCAGAATATCAGGGTATTAAAAGAAATGCTAATGATATTAATGGATTAGTCAGGAGCATCTGGAGGGGGAGTCAAAAAAGTTAAGATGTGTGCACATTACAAAAAGACTTTGATCATGGGGTTGTGTAATAGTATGTGGGAATGACCTTGGGAGACAGGTGGAAGAGTCACAGACTAGGCAGCGGTCAGATAAGAGGCAGCTGAGCCCGCAGAAGGAATGGGGGCATGGCAATCGTCTCAGAAGGGACCCTCCCTAGTTTCTTGGACTGTAAAGGTGAGGGGGGAGGGATGTACTTTCAGACTTGCAAGATTCTGTTAATGTAACCTTACAATAAAGATAGAGCTGGTACTTCTGGGTGTGCTTCTTGTCTGGACTATCTCGCAAGGCTGACATCAATCTTGCAAGTCTCAAAGTACATCTCTCCCCGCTTGCCTTTACAGTCCAAGTGTCAGGCCCAGCCCAAGATCGACCGAGAAACAGACCAGCCAAGTTCAGTTCTTTTATTTCTTATACCATATAGACAGAATCTTGCCAGACGAAATCTGTATTACTCTAACTTAGTGGATATACCCTGGGAGATTCTAGGGAGTGCCTATCCTAAATCTCTTCCTCTTCCCATGATCCAGCTCCAGACTGTGTGGTCTGTTGTCTTGCCCCCTTCCTGGAATGTGCTCCCTCCTTCCTGAGAACCTGCTCTGTTACTGTAGTCCATACATCACCTCCCCCTTTGTAGACACATTCCATCACACCAAAAAACTAGGGAGGATCTCTTCTGAGATGTTTGCCACACCCCTATTCCTTCTCTGGGCTCAGCTGCTGCTTGTCAGACCATTGCCTAGCCTGTGGCTCTTCCTCCTGTCTCCCAAGGTTATTCCCACATATCATTACAGGTTGTAATTTTTTTTTATTCCCCCTGCAGACACTCTAGGAGCACCGATCCTGACTTAAATAATGCAAGTCTTTTTAATATGCATATCAATTCAGATTCCATTTTTTAAAGTAACCTTAATTTGAGACACATTATTTAAGAATAGCAGCCCCCTAATTATAATGTATTTTGCATTTCAGGTAACAAATAATGTACTTTCAGTTGATGACATACCTTCAATGGCTGGCTTGCTTGAAGTTATTGTAATTCTCTGGAGGAGTATTCAGAAAGCACTTGATCGCAATGAAGAAGCAAAAAATCATATTGTCCAAAAGTTTGCTTCTGTGCTACCGGAATATTTAAAAATATTTAAGGTAAAGTCAGATAAAATAGAATTTAATTTGTTCTCTATATATGTACCATCCACTGTGATTGACAGCTGAGAACAAAACATCAAATAACATTAACTAGTCTCAGATCCCACAAAGTTTGTTACTGTGAGCTGGAACAATTCATACATTGCCATTAAACACCTAGTTTAACCTAGAAGCACAATGGGCTGAATGCAAAGGCTTAATGTCATTCATTAAAGAGATGAAACTATAAGGATTGTAGCATTTTCTAGCATGGCCTTTGTCTCTGACTAGGCTAAGGTTAGAGTTTAGCTGGGGGAAAGCATGGTCTTGAGATTGGGAAGGGAACAGGAAGTATCTTGAGGAGTAGGGCGGACATGGGGTCAGAATAAGGAAAATAATGATCTTTTCAATGTTCTATGAAGTCACTTTTGCGCATCATTGTACCTCATTGTTGACACCTCTTATTTGATACTGTAATTGCAATCTTCATTTACATTTGATAAATCTTATTCTAATTTAAGGCATGAGTGCTGTTTCAGCCTAGAGCTTTTATTATTCATGGAGCTAAAATGAGTGGGGTCTTTTTTATACAGAACTACTACCATTTTATGAAAATGCCTTTAGGAGCAATTATCCAGCTGTGAACATTTTCAGCCAACCGAATGCAGGTTCCAATAGGGTTGTTAGTTTATGTTTGCAGCACAGTCTAGACAGCCCAAATTAGTGGGTAAGCGTTGTACAAGAAGATATGTTAATGAGTGTCAGGCTGACACTTGCTGATTTACCTTTCCGAAAGCTTATTGTTATGCTTTAAAATACAGGGATACCATTTGACATATATTGTACTCTCAATTCTTCTCCTTAATAAAGATTTCTGGGGTTTTTCTTTTTGTGTCTCTGTGTGTGTGTGTGCTTCTAACAGGATGATCGTTGTGTGTCTCCAATAATTATTCTGGCATCTTTCATCTCACCTGCTGCTATTCCTACATTCAGGTATGGCTTATTATTTTGTGAAGCTGAAAATGTAGGTCAAAACCTTTTCTTTGAAAGGTGTGGTCTAGGTCTGACTGGGAAAAAAGAAGTCCTCTAGCCAAAAGGGTGGAAAGATTTTTTTGAGTTAGATTTTTCTGTTTGATCTAATCTAATGGATCACCTTTTCTCTGCTTGTCACTAGCTGTGGTGTGATTTCAAAGCTGAAGAACCTGGAAAATGGCGTGACTGAAAAGAAATACTCTCCCCTACTTGACTGTCTGTGTCGCTGGGGCAAATTAGGACATATTCTTGAATTAATCTGTGATTGGATAACAGCTGAGCCAAGCAAGATGGAGGTATGCTTAAAAAAAGAGAAAGTTTCACCTCAAATGTATAGATTTGTGCAGCTTCTGAGGTTGATTAGTTTTATTGTTCTCTGTTTCTTGCTTACAAATAAAAGGATATTATTCCCTCTTCTTAGGCTAATGAGACTGAACGGCGAGTACGTATCCAAGAAACGAATGAGCCCAAACCGGAATTGGCCCTTGATTATTTAGAGTATTTACTGACTCATTACATGAATCGAGATTGCCTTTTGTCCCTCTCCAGAGACAAACTGAACCAGCTTCTGAAAGTTCTTGAATGCGGAAAGGTCAGCACCACCCTTTTCACCCTATCATCTGAATCGGTTCTAACAAATATCTCTGACGAAGCTTTCTTTAGATGCAGTTCATTTCCTCTTGGATGTCCTTTATTCATCCCATAAGGGCTTGATAAACTTCTAAGCAGCTTCTTCCAACAAGCGTACCAAACGCTTCTTTGACTCGGGGCGGGCTGATCTTTAGAAAAAGGGCTGTCTCCGTGTGCCCGGTGCACATGGCAATATGGGGCAATGCTGATTCGGGTAACATTCCCTGGCCATACAGAGCAGAGGCCCCCAAGGGAACCGACTGGATGGAGTGATGTGTATTGACACACGGGTCTGTGGTGTGAAATTAGTTTTCTGCCAGGATGAGTCTGAAGTTGCTTTAGATGGGCAAGCTACCAAAAGGATGATAGTGAGAAGCGGCCAGAAAACCCTGCATGGACAGAAAGCTTTTCTCTCGGATGGGGTTCAGTCGTTACCGTCCTTCTCCTGTCTTTTTAAAAACGTAGTGGAGGCACAAGGACTTTTGGAAGGGGCATAAACCTCTGTTTCAAAAGCAAACCAACGCATTGACCATTTGCATCGATGCCACTGCATTGGCTGTCTCCTACGACATAGTCTGTTAGAAGAAAAGCAGCCTGCGCAGGTTACTCCCAGTTTCTTTATCACTGAATGCCTACCCCACCCTGCTGTTTATACACACACTCAAGCTTTATTGCAATTACAGAACTACAGAAAATAAACGTGTGTGCACGTGGCGTGGTCCCCGCCCTATGGAATGCCCTCCCCCCGGAGGTGAGGCAGGCCCCTACTCCCGGAAGGGGGTTAAGACCCGGCTCTGCCGATTCGCGTGGGGCGAGAAAAGGGGCAACCAACCCTGGGGGTGGTTAGCACCTTGAAGATGCTCCTGTATGTTAATATCCTTTTTACCAGTAGCACCTTGGAAGGTATTATTTACGTATGAATATGGTTTGTACTGTATTTTAATATTTTTTTTTTTTTTACTGTAAACTGCTCAGAGTCACTTCCTAGTGAGATGGGCGGTGACCAAATTTGAAATATAAATATAAGTAAATAACAGCAAAGTACTTGAATAATATTTGCATCGGATAAGCGTATCTATAGAACTGTAACTGCTTGCTGTTATAATGACATATCATACTATTTTTTTTCCTTTGTCGTACTTCTTTCACTTTTTTGTAAAGCGCTTTTTATGGTTTTTTCCCCCTCTTTGACAGTGTACCTCCACCATTATCTTCATTGTGTTTTGCTCTTTTTCTGTTTTTGTTATTAATTAAAAAGAAATATAAAATAATAAAAAAAACATAACGAGATCGCTGCAATTAAAATCAAAAGCAGAAATTAAAATCAGCTCCCATCAAATGTGATGTGTCACCCAACGTGACTCGAGTCCCACATACTTTTAGGTCTTGGAATATTGGACGTTTCTGTTTTGAAAGGCAGTATAAAACATGTTAAAATAAATAATTAAACATCCATAGATTTGAACGAAACCCAGGAAGGGCACCGCTCTTTCAAAGAGCATGCCTATAGTGGGATATTTTTTAAAAGGTTAATATTTCTTCTCCCAACTTGTAGGATGTCCTAGATTCTTATATCCGAGGGCATGACCCAGCATATTGTGGCTTCTATCAAGCAACAGCAGTGAGAGCCTTCAGCCTCTACTGCAGATTAAATATACATCTTTTACACAAGGTGCCGTAAGTCGGAGAGTTACTGTTCATTTGAGTAGAAAGGTTCTTGAACCCGGCAACTCCCCTGTAGCTGGATATGTTTCTTTTTCTTAACAGTTTGCCTCTGAAGAACAGGATTATCTGTCGGCTTTGGAGGAGTCGGGGGCCTGGATAGAAAATAGCATTCTGCCTCCTTTCATGTTAGAGGAACAGGAGGACAGCTTGGAGCGATCCAGGGAAATCCCTCAACTGGTGATTCAGGTACTCCGTGTGTGTGTGTGTGTGTGTGTGTGCGCGCGTGGGTGGGTGTGCGCGCACGCGTACCCTGGTTAGCATGCTCCTTATGTACGGTGATTATTGGATTGTGCATTAATATAATACTGACTCAGTTTAGACATCACCCCATCGTAGACTGCATTGACTTTAGTTTAGAGTGGCCCAAACATAATTTGTTTTCCCAGCTTAGAGGCAACCTAGAATTTAGAACTGCTTCTGCATTTTAGTTTTCCCTCTGATCAGAAACACCTTATTTTATGTTTTTCTTTATGTTAATATTGCAGTTTTCCTCTAGGAGCTCAACCCCACTCTCTTCCCCCTCCTTTCATTTCATCCTTTAACAATCCTGTGCAATCAACCAGGCAGGGAGATGGTGGCCAGTACATACATTGAATGTGGTAACAAGGCTGGGCATCCTTTATTCTTCACTATGGTCTCTCTGTGCACCCACAGGGGATGTGCGCCTGTGGAAAGCTGGTTTCAAACCTCCTACAGCTTACAGAATCATTTGGCAGGATTGATTGATTGATTTTAGATACCGTGATAATGTTCCCTCCCGGTTTTCTTTTTTCCAAACGAATGAGTTCTAAGCATTCATTCTTTTCTTGTACAGAAGACCCCCTGATAATTTTGGTTGCTCTCGTCCGCACATTTCTAGCTCTTTTATATCCTTTTCTCCAACGTGGCAACTAGAACTGTTCCCATTACTCCCAGTGTTGATGTACCACAGATTTGTATAAGGAAATTGCAACATTGCTGTAATTATTTTCAGTCCCTTTTCTATAGATTTCTATAGAATTTGCCTTTTTGACAGCTCTTGTATACTGAGTTCACACCTTCGCTGGTCCACCATGACCATTTTACTGGTCAGACCCCATTTGTATAAATAGGAAATTAAAGACCTTTGCCCCAGTGTACATATCTTTACGTTTAATTCAGTTGAACCATATTTGCCATTTGGTTGACCATTCACCCATTTTAAAGAGACCTTCATGGAGATTTTCCAACTCACTTTTGATTTTCACCACCCTGAATACTGTGGTGTCATTTGCAGACTTAGCCAGCTATGGTGGAGTTGCAGGGTTCAAGAACTTAAAAATCAAATTTGTTTAGGATTATTTAGGATCAACTTAAGAATCTGTTCCCTCAGATCCTTGAAGGACTTCACTTCTTATCTACCTTCATTGAGAAAAGTGCCCATTTTGTTTCTATTCTTTGTTTTCTGTGTTTTAACCAGTTAGCAATCCATACAATGAGAGGTCCTCTTATCCCATGGCCACTAAGTTTACCCAAACGCTTTTGATGAGGAACTTTATCAAAGGCATTTGAAAACCCAGTTATATAATATCTATATGGTTACCTTCCTCCACACACCTACTGACACACTCAAAGCACTCTAAATTTTTCCCTCTGCAAAATCCATTCTGTTTTTCCTTCAGCAGGGCTTGTAGGACATGAAGAAACACTGGGATTTCTAAAAACAAATCTGACAAAAGCATTTAAACTCCTAACCTTTCCTATTTTATTGAGAACTAGTAACTTGTTTCTTAATAAATCATCTGAAAAATGACCTAATCTTAGCTGCTCCATTTTAGAAGTATATGAAAAGTAAGTACTTACTGGTTTATAAATGTAATATGTACCCATTTTCTGTTCTTTGTCCAAAGACTTACCTAACGGTGTGCAAAGATCTAATAGCTATTGGACTTGGTGATTTCGAATTTCAAGCCAGTCTTCTGAACTTGGTAGCTATGATCATACACAGAGGTATGTTTTTTTAAATATTGTGTATTTCTATCTTCCTATCAGATTGTATCAGATAGTAAAGACTGATCTTGTCTTACCCTAAAACCATTAGGACAGTATAAGGTCAGTGACAAGCAACACAATCTATAAATATAGTAACAGAATAACAGAATTCTCACATTTATGTCTTATACCAGTGTTTGTCAACCTTGGCAACTTCAAGATGCGTGGACTTCAATTCCCAGAATTCCTCAGCCAGCATGCTGGCTGGGGTACTCTGGGAGTTGAAGTCCATGCATCTTGAAGTTGCTATGGTTGAGAAACATTGTCCTATACAGTATAGATATATCGGCCTTCACTGTTGGTGTGCTTTCCCATGTATTTTTCTGAATGTTTTGTTTTCAAGACAAAACTTGGATGTTTCTTTATTTCAGACCGCTGAAAGGTAAGCTTTAACCTTAGGTAACCTTTCGAATTAGAGTCGAGCATTGCTTGTCATGCATGAAAAGAGATGTGATGGAATGTAACTGAACTGTTGCTGTTTTCTTAAGAGAATGTTTGGGGTTCAGTTTATCTCTATAGGGGGAATACCTGTAACTTTAGTTTTATTGAAACATTACAAATTCAACAACTTCCAGGAATTGAAGGAAGGAAGGAAGGAAGGAAGGAAGGAAGGAAGGAAGGAAGGAAGGAAGGAAGGAAGGATGGATTTATCAGCCTTCCCCAACGTGGGTCCGTCTAGACATGTGAGCTTCAATTTCAGAATTTGAAACAGTCAGGACTGTTGCTGAGAATTCTGGGAGTTGAAAACAGCTGGAGAGTGACCATGTTGGGGAAGACTGAACGATATCTTGGAATGGAATAACTAAGTTTACTTTCTGCTACACATCTTATGTTTTCATAGAATGTAAGGGTTGGAAAGCTCTTTGGAAATCAGCTACTGAATTCTCTGTACTGTCCAGGAATCCACTACTGTGCCGTCCATGAGAAGTGATCATATTTGAACACCTCCAGCAGAGGAGAGGTTACTGCCTCCCAAGGCAAGCTGTTCCATTGTGGAGCAGATGATAGGAAATATTTCCTGACACCCAACCAAAATCTGCTTCCTTGTAATTTAAGCCCATTGTTACTTCTCCTGTAGCAATTCTGAACAGTTCTACTCCACATTCTACAAGACAGCCCTTCAGATACCTGAAGACAGCTATAATGTCTCCCCACAGGCTTTTCTTCTCCGTGCTAAACCTGCCCAATGTCTCCAACCATTCCTCATAAGTTTTTTCTTCCTGTCCACTTATCATCTTGGTTCCTCTCCCCTGGACACACTCCAGTTTGTCCAAGTTTTTTCTAAAATAGGGTTTCCAAAACTGGATATAAGGAGCAGTCTGACTAGTGCAGAATGAACAGGTTCAATGGCTTTTCTTGATCTTGACACTACACTTTTGCATATATAGCCTTGGAGTGTACTTACTGTTTTTGCAACAGCATCACACTGTTTTTTCTTTTCGTTTGTTTTGTTAGAAAAAGGCTCCATTTTCATTCCAATGTTACTTTCTATCCTGAGAGAGATGGTTGAAGCTTCTTTGGCCCATGACACTGTCAACACTGATCACATAGCAGAACTTCTAGACGGTGTTCAGAAAATGTTCCAGAAAATTCTAGAATCTATCGCACTTAGGCTCAGAAAACAAGAAGAAGAAGGGATTCAGGTACTGGTTGCATTTAAAATTGGCCATCATTTTTGTATTTTTTTTTCCATCTGTGAACTTTCCCATTTCAGCTATTGTGCTTAATTGCATCAACCAGGCCAGGCCTCACTTGTTTATAATAGAAAGAATCTAGCAACTGTAATTGGAAGAAACGGTCCTCAACAAAAGTTGCAGACTATCAGTTTTGCTTTGAATATTTCCAGTATATTTCAGACTTCCTCTTTCTTTTAAAATAACAAGATACAATTACTTTCTAACCAATCCCTATTAGCAATGGTGTTCCGTTTTCTAATGAAAAGGTTGACATTTGGTGATGTTCAGTGACAGAACGAAAAATCGCTTGGAACGTGCTGGTGTTGTTTTAAGTGGGAGCTTTGACAACTCCACATAAAGATCATTATTCAGTCCCACATTTTCTGAGATAACACCCTCCTTTTATTTTTTAATTTCGCTTTGAAAACCACTTTGTAAGAAAGGTCAGTGATAGGCAGGGCAGGAGTGTAATTACAAAAAAAAAAAAAATCTGGAAGTTTCAGAGATGATAGGATAACTTTTCTTAGATACACGATAACATTGGCTAGAGCAGTGTTTCTCAACCTTGGCAACTTTAAGATGTGTGGACTTCAACTCCCAGCATTCCCCAGCCAGCATGCCAAGGTTGAGAAACACTGGGCAAGAGAAATAAAATGATTGCCTCCTAACAGGACAATGTAGGCATGAGATGCCCTCACAGGACTTTCAATTGCTTTACTAGATATCGTGCCATGTTTTTTCTTGGTTTCTTTTCATGGACTTGTTGGTAATTCCAGGTCAATATTAATTAGAGATGGACTAGCTTAAAAATTAAACTTTGTATTGTTTTATCCAGAAGGTGTCACCTTTATTCTCTCTGCTGCCTGCCTTTTGTATTTCCAATTCTTGGCAAGGCTCTTAAGCTCTTTTCTCAGCCTCAGGTTTTTTTTTGTTTCAGATTATAAAGATTCACGACTGTTTCTTCTTGAGCCTTTTAACTCCTCTTTATATTGGAAAAATAATTCTATAAAACGATTGCACCTGGACTCTGATATTGATTTCAACCTCCTTGAAGCAGCACTGGGAGAATTGGAATACTTTAAATTGGTTATTTCTTCTGAAGTTTGTGCTGTAGTGTCATAAGGAAAGTGGATACTGTAAACCTGCCCCTATACAAAGCATAGACAGATGGTAGACTCGCCTGGTCCCTCCAGAATGGAGAGTTCCCATTTCTGTGTGAAAAGAGAAGCATCTTGCTCCTGTTTTTTAGAAAATAATCTGGAAAGGATGCAGCTTTTAAACTACTCAAAGTTTTTCTGGGGATTTTGTACTGTATGCTTTAATCTGTGTAGTTGTGCCATAAAGACATACTTGTCTCAGGTTTTTTAAAAGAAATATATCTATTTGTGTAGGCATGTTTGCTATAAAGCTCATTTTTGCTCTTTCCTAGTTAATTCACTCTGTTCAAGAGCCTCTTGGAGAATTCATACATGTAGTCCAGTCTTGTACGTTGGCTTTTCCAGCTGTTCACCGTGGAGTTATTTCTTCTCTGTTAGCGGCAGCAGTGGTTGAGATAGGTTGCAACTTGAGGCAAAAGGTAATGGGTTTTGCTTTACTGTTCCTGCAAATATGCTCTGTGTGCATGTAAGGATGGTCTAAGCAAATAGTCAAGGGTCTGTCAGATGTGGTAGAGATCAGACCTCTTGAGGTTCACCAGTACAACGGCATCACATCCCTTTTTTGAGCCGTAATTAAAAATGACCAGGGAAAGACAGCATCACAGGGACATGATTTGCACTCTGTGATATAATGTACTTTGGGTTTTAGCCTGTTACATGAATCTGAACATTGTGGTTAATAAGCTACGTTTTATGGCTTACTGTGATGTGTGAATTTAGCAAGTATTTAACTGTGGAGTTCTTGGGGTTCTCTGAGCTTGGTTGTGTTCTTGCAAACTTTTCGTTACCCGGCTAGGTAACGTCTTCAGTGCTAGAACCCCAAGGACTCCACAGTCCAACCCTGAGCTACATATATTCTCTTCTGCAAGTATTTAACTTTATGATCTGGCTGAATGTGAGAGCCAAACATGCAGCTCATCATTGGCTACGTCCTCGAGAATCAATAAAGACCTGCATTCTTCTTCCTCACTCAGATGTGAGCCCAGTGTAAGCAGGACTGAGGCCCCCATCAAGAACCCAGAAGAAGGCTTTGGATAATAATATTTTAAGATTCTTCTAAGAGAGAGCAACTGGCCCCAAGCCATCCATAGCTGGGGGTGGGCTTCAACCCATTGCTGGTCCAGATAGAATCTGATATTCAGAGAGTTGATGGATCAGAATCCTCATTCCTACTCACACAGAATACCAGGAGATGCCAAAGACCTTTCAGGGTTTTTTCAGCATGGAGTGTGTGGGGAGAGATTCCCACAGATGGCTGGAAACAGGAAGCGCTTTCATCACATCACCCTAGCTCAGCATTTCTCAACTTTGGCAACTTTAAGATGTGTGGACTTCAACTCCCAGAATTCCCCAGCCAGCCTTGCTGGCTGGGG